ACCGTATTCACTAACAAAGCCCTTCTCGAATGTTATCTTTCTTTAAGCAATCTATCGGCAGTGTCGTGAAAAGCTGAACACAAGCATTACAACACATCAAAAGAATTCACAAGAGGTGAGGGAAAATAGTGAACGTAAAGACTATAGTGGATTCCTTATGGCTGTTAAGCCGACTGATCCTTCTTTTTTCGTTTTTTTTTCCTCTCCTCAACACCTATAAAGCCGCAGGCAACTATTGTGTTGGGTAACCTGTGGCGATAAGCTAGTAATGGGGCAGCCACGTACCCAGTCGTTGCGTTAGGCGTGGACAAATCAAGGGACAGGGCAGGAAAAAACGAGAAAGCGCATCGCCCTGGCCAATTTTGTGAAAGAGTAGTTATAATGATAGTGATTATGATAATGGTACTAATGATGATAACAATATAAACAATAGTCAAAATTATTTATAAAAACATTACACGTTTCAAGAGAGAAAGAAATAAGAGGTAATAGCTTTACTCTTAAAGAAGGGCCTGCAAAACGACATCCAAACTTTGTAAAGACTGCCGAATGAAGACAGTTGTCGTATAACCCACCGAAGAGGTTGTTATGCCATTGTCTGCTAGCACTTGTGTAATAGTTTACATTATGTTTTCATTTTCAACGTAGGCCGCTGAGAGCGTTTCTAGAGCCAGTAAGGTAAGCTTCCCAGGATTTAATCAAGAAGAGGGAATAGAAAAGATTTCACGAGATCTTGAGCGTTTGGCCTTTAGCCCTGACAGCAGTCTATTCCAGCCTTCCTCGTCCCAGGAGGAGACGCAGTCCACAACATCAACACTTGATGACAGCATCAGCCAAGCCACGTGTGCGCAATACCTTAAACCTCCAGATAACGCCGACGAAGGTAAGGTAGCCGCATTGCAATGGTTTGTGGATGAGTGCAGTATTGGGCCTCTTGGGTCTATTATGAAGCGTCCGTGGACTGATGCCACCTCGAAAACACGTGAATGCTACATCCGTAAAGCTAGTACAATTATCTCAGAGGTCTTAAAAACCGTAGCGCCGCAGTCCGCTCCAGAATTGTGGGAGGCAGTGAGAGGAAAGAACGAAGTTAGCCACCTCCTTGGGTCTGTGCATAATGGCAGTGATCTACTATTAGCTCTAGTGGAGTCTTACAAGCAAGCGGACACATCCGAGACAAGGCGCTAAATATTAAGTCTCGTGGCCAGTAAAGTGACCTATGCAGAACTGGTAGCACACATACCTCGACTAACAAGATATGAGTTCACGGCGGCAAGACGATACACGCTTGAGGTAGGCGCAGGACTTACTGTACAGTCGGAGGCCAAACAGATAAGAGAAAAAGTGGACCCTGCCAAAATAGATAACTTTCTGGACTTTATCACGTCTTCTACAATCATCCAGGACCTCCCATTTGGTCGGAAAACCCTGACATTAAGCAGCGGCACAAAGATCGACATTCCCAATGTAGTAAGGACAGTGTATAATATAATCAATATTGCAGTGAAGTGAATTACGCTCCACTCTCGAGCCGTACGCTGTTTAGAATTTTGTCTGAGGCATGTGTGGCGTCAGTTCGAAAGAGTTTACAGGGGCTAGACAGCTACGCAGCAGAAGGCGGGCGCGGATTTGATGATTTATTATCATCCGCCATGCCACGCCATCGGTTTAATTCCAAGCAAAGGAGGTACTTGGAGGAAAAGTTTAAACATGGCGAGACAAAGGGGATTAAAGCAAACCCAGATGACGTCTCGAAGGAGATGAGATGAGATCAGAGCGGGAAGCGAATCTTCACGGTAAAGGAGTTCCTACGTCCACAACAAATCACCTCATTCTTCTCTAGGATGGCATGTAAGAGAAGAGATGCCACCGACTCCGATGATGAGGCTGAAGAATTTGCAAGGCAGCAGGCGGCCGTCTACTCGGATGTGATGGAAGTGTTACGGCAGGAAATCACTCATCCCTTGCTTTTCTCTGGCAAAAACCTGTGCTTGATGACAGAGTCAGAGATCGAAAGCCTCAAGATCACTCAGATGCGTTCCATAGTTAGTCACTTTTGCATTAAAGTTAAAGCTCGAAAGAAGAATGTCTATTCTATCGCTATTATTGAATTTTTGAAAAGGTGCTCCTGTAAGCAGTAATTCAGGTAACTATAATTACTACAAAAGCCGTGGACAAAGATCCCGCTGGTTGTTAAAGTTGGATCTCTAGAAAAGAGATCTAATCAGCTAAAATATTACTGAAAGCAAAAAAAGAGAAGTCCAAAGACTACTGCAAGACTGATTAATAACGTGTACTGTTTTTTTACAACAATATTTCGGCGGGCCATACCAGCCTTCTTCAGTAGGTTTACAGATGTTACTGAATTTATGATGGAAATTACAATATTATATAGAGATGGAGGATGTCGCAAAAAAATTGTTTAAAAGGGGGAGGCGGAAATGACGTACAACGTAAAAAAAGAAAAGAACAACTAATAAGGATGTAGGTAACAATAATTCACCACGGGGGTTTAGGCCATTAGGTTCAAGAGTCATGACCTTATTTATCAAATGTGACTCCCTCGCCTTACGGACTGAGGGTAGGGGGCGTTGTTTCTAGGTTATAACATAGGACCAAAAGGTCCTACTCTAAAAACCAAATTTATTATGCTTTTCTCGTGGATCAAGATTTTTTTGCCGCAATTAATTTAAGTCACCAGTTATTTCTAACCCCCCACTCCAGAAAAAAAACTGTATATTATCCGATGACATGTAATTTAAAAAACAAATTGTGGGGTATTTACGTACAAATTAAATGAAAGGGCATTTGTAAGCAAAGAGAGAGTTCTTCTGTGAAAAAGTTGCAGAAAAGTTAAAGACTCTTTCATCAGTAATGCAACATCATCCTTGCATGGCTCGTTTCGTTTAAAATGACCAAAACCAGTCATAAATCAGATATACCCCCGGAAAATACTAAACTTAGCAAGTTCTGTTATTTTATAGTGTCTTTACTGCCGTAGCTGGATACGATAAAACTCGTAACCAGTCCCCCTGTCTGTGTCACCCAAAATGGCGTCTCGTGAAAACTCGAATTTTCGGCATTATTGAGTCGTTCTCCTGTCAACACAATATGACTGCCCGCGGAAATTTTTATAACAAAAACTGCACCAATATAAGTACTTTCAAACAGTATAAATAAATTTTCCGAAGTCCATCTACTTCTAGAGATATTTCCCGGGAACTATAGCTTAGTCCCTGGTTGAACAAGTGTAAGGAAAAAGGAGCCATCTTTGAACATACATTTTCTAGGCAAAAACATAACAGGTCCCAACGGAATATATATTTTTTATATCTCTAGATTCGTGTTAAGATCTGGAGTAAGTTTCACTGGCTACATAGTTTTTGGTATTTTTTAACCGATTTTTCAAATGTTGCTTTTTTTCAGTTTTCACAGCCATTAATGTCCGCTCAAAGTGAATACGTCCCAAAATAACAATTTTGAGTTTTGAAGAAAACGTATTATGTCATTCAATCAGGCATGTCAAAAGCTTTATTCTGACAAAGTTTCAAAAGTTGTGATTTTTGGCCCGATTTCCAACTTTGCTCGATCCTTACAGGCAGCGCCTCTTAAATTATTCTGTCATTGATACTGCCTACAGTCGCCTCTATGCTTTTATTTTCCCCTAGAAAATCAAATATTTCAAATACATCTGGCGCAGTGAAAGTTAACTGAGCTATTGTGCATCAATGTGTAGAAAAACAAAATCTTCCACTGTTTGCTGAAAAAAGGTATTGCTTACACATTTAATCGAATGCAGACAGAAACATGATACAGAAAAGGTATCCATCCGTACAATCGTAACTGATCAACATTTTAAAATGCAGCCACTTATCTAACTGCTATGGTGTTTTGTGGACACTGAAATTATGAACTCAATAAATATGAAAGGAAACGAAATTTAAGTATTTTAAGCCCTTGTGAAATTTAAGTTAAAAAGTACCACTTTGAAGTGATTTATTGAGTGAACCCTTAATCCGGATTATTCTTTGCTCGTGCCTCGATCCCTACTAAATAACCTAATTTCTAGTTGCTTTCCCTTCATACTTCTTGATACCTTTCGCGAATACTATTCGAATACGTAAAAAAGTAGTCTAACTTGGTCAGTTGTCAAACGTTAGGCACTTTTAAAAGTACGCGGCCCGTACCTCAGAATCAATACTGCATGGTTCAATGCTGTTCTCTGCATCCCATCGACGCTCGCAAAACAAAAAGCGGGAATTCCATGATTCCATGCCGTTTTTCGAGATAGGTTCCAGTTCGACTAGGAGTGGAAGATCAAAAACCGGCTGCCTGGGAGATTGGTGCTTAATTTGTTTATTTTTTTTTTGTTATAATTGATAATAACAATGACAATGATAGTGAAAATGAGAAATATTATTATTATTATTATTATTATTATTATTATTATTATTATTATTATTTTGTCAATAAGGTTTTTGACTATAGTCAATATTCTTAAAGAGAAAGAAGTTTATATTATAGCCTCTTTTTGATTAAGCCAATGTGTAGGAACGTGTTACTATATTCCCTTTTCTCTCTTATTAGGACACCGTACTTGAGACTGGAAAGACTGCCATGGAGGAGAACATTATAGCTAAAGTAACTCTCTCAATACTAGTAACGATGGCATTGCTTGGTAACATCCTAGTCTGCCTTGTCATTCTGAAAAGCAAGGCCTTTAGGTCGCCACTCTATCATCTTGTTGCGAACCTTGCCATTGCTGATTTGGTGATTGTGATCTCGTTTACGCCAAGGCATATCCTGGAAGGACTGTTCCATCATCCTCAAGGATTAGTGGGAACCATTCTCTGTAAGACAATCACTTCCGATACATTCACCTGGGTTGGGGCAGTTGCGTCTTCGATAACAGAAAGGTCGTTGCAAGTCTACGCAATGAGGATATACCCAGACGACATACATCGATATCCCTGTTGAAGGCCAGAAACAACGTAACAAAGATGCTGGTGATAGTTACAATAGTATATGGTGTCTGCTATATCTCAAATTTAATTCTCTACGTAGTGTGGTATGTTTGGGACGCAGATCTTATGTATACCATAAACAAAGTTTTTCTCATGCTAATATTAATAAATTCATGTGCAAATCCGATTATATACGCTGCGCAAAACCGTCAATTTAGAAAAGAGATGGCTGGTGTTTTGTGCAAATGCTGTAAAGACCCTCGAAATCATAAGATGACACTGACACCCTTGAGAGGTTTCAATCAAAGAAGGGAGACAGCCTGCAGGAACAGATATCTATCGAATGTCATTAGGAGCAACAGAGTAGTAGAACTGTCATTTTACATTGATATGGCAAAGGGTTATACCAGTGGTAGGCACGCAAATGGCAATAACGAAGAGGCAAATAATGAAAAGAATAACTCCACGGTGTCTAAATACAAGGACCAATGAACTACTACAACAATTAAACTATCAGGCTTAGGGCTATGTAGGGTTATGAGGGGCTATGTATGGCTCTGCAGGGCTATATGTATGGGTATGTAGGTCCATGTATGAAGAATGTGTAACACGGTGGGCGGTTGCTAGGGTTTTTTCTCCCGTACCTCTCAAAATTGAGAGTTTTAGGCCATAGACAGAAGTAGAATGCATCGAATGTGACGAAACATGGCAGGGAAGTAGGTTGACAAACTACCTGTTAAGTGGTTTTTATTTCATCCCATGTGATTGCTATTGTGATGTCATAAATGCTGCCCAAATTTGGCATCTGAATAAAAATCCAGGAAAGAAATGGTAAAAATTTACCAATAGTTTTCTGTATAGAATTCTATGATTTCTGGTGAAAACGCCATCTCAATCAGATAAATGACCATATATGGTCAAAATTAGGGTATTTTAAACGCGGCAACAATGAATTGAATGTATAGGCACAGGAGCAAGGACAACGTTGATAAAATCAATATTGTACTTTTTTTTAGTTATGTGGTGCTATGACGCGTTTTTGTCACAAAATACGTCATTATGACGTCACAATGACGTAGACTTCTGTAATTCGATACAACATTAATGAGAATTTTAAAATAAAATGATGGCTCATGCATAATTCTTGAAAGAGACTTCTTTTATGCATCTTTTACATCAATGTGACAGAGTTATTATTTCTTGAAAATTTTTATTAAAAAACTAAGAAATTAATTTCCTTAAAGCAAGAAAAATCGGATGAGCACGCGACAAAGTCAACAGAAAATCCATCTCAAATCGGCGTGTATTTTGTAATTTTTCTTTAGCACCGATGAATAAAGTTATAAAACGTTTGAGAAACATTTATACGTACAAAAATTCCCTTAATATAATTTTCTTGACCATAGAGGAAAATTTGTACCTGGACAGCCTTCAAAAACGTGGCTGCCTTGATTGAAGTTCGAAACAGGGCACATTTTTCTCTCCGCCGTGAAGAAACCATAGTTAAATTCCTAGAAGGACGATTTCGTGAACAAAAGCTTTTCTTTAGTCCACAAAAAAAGAAAGCTGAACCTTCATTTGAACTTTTTAACGGTGTATTTTTAACCCTGAAATGCGAAACCTTGGTCTTGAAAACCAGCACATGGTCCGTGCTTTTGGAATGCTTTTTCAGCCAATCAGAGTGCACGTTCTGAACTTTATTATAAAACTAAGAGATATTAACCATTTAAATAAAATTTACTTGTACAATTATAGTAGACTTTTGGAAAGCTAGTCTTTATCTCAAAATGGTCGCTTATACAATGTTTTCTTTTATTTAATCCTCTTTTGTGTGTGTGTTTGTGATTGTTTGATTGTTCCTTCGTTTCCTTCCTTGCCTGTTGTTGTTTGTCGGTCTGTTTACCAGATTGCTGGAGTAATCCTTTCATATTGCCGTTACACTTTCCCTACCGAGCTGAGTAAAAATAGCGATGGCAAGACCAGAAATAAAGCGGTCTTTACAAGGACAAGTCTAATTTATAGCCAATAAGCTTCCAGAATTTCACAAAAAAACGTGGAATTTTAAACTCATATAAGCCTGCAATGTTGAGAGAATGAGAAGACACACGAAAGAAAAATACAGCAGTGAAGACGAAAACTAAAATATCAGACATTTCCCCGAGGAGGAACAAACAAAAAAAACAGCGAGGATTTTTTTAAAAAAGCAAACTTATCATTAAACATTTTCAATGAAGCTGAACCAAGATCGAGTCCATC